GGCAGCAGCAGCAGCAGCAGCAGCGGCAGCAGCAGCAGCGGCAGCAGCAGCGGCGGCAGCAGTGGCAGCAGCAGCGAAAGAGTCCCACCTGCAGGAAGCGGTCCCTGCTGCAGACGCCGCCGCCGATGGAGGCCTGCGCAGCGGCCTGCACCCCCTGCAGCACCTCTGACAGGCCCGGCGACCACATCAGCTGGGGTTGTGCGATCCCAGGGGGCGGGGGGACGGCGGAGGGGTCAAGGCAAAGCCTGTCGGGACAGTACTACACAGGCTGCACTGGGAGTAAGCATCCGACACCAGGCAGCAGAGCTGTGCATCCCAAACATCTGCACTGGGATTCCAAAGCCAATCCTGCCTCCCGAGCCCGGCTGCGAGGGGGTGTGTGGCCCAGCGCCCCACCTTGCGGCTTGAGTAGGTGAAAAACGACTGCAGCTCGGCCGCGCTGAGGGCGCCTGGGGGTTTGGAGGGGAGGTGGAGGGAGGGCAGGACAGGGCGGTTGGGTGGCCAGGGGAGGGGCTGCACCGGGCGGCCTGCGGGGCGCTCACGCCGCAGCGAAGGCATGCAGGCACAAACCACAAACGCACGGCGCGAGACACCGAGCCCCTCGGCTCACACGCTGCCTTGACCATCGCATGGTATCAACAGATAAGGGGCCAACGAGACGGGTCTGGGTGGCGCCGCCGGCCGCGAGCGGGCCTGCGGCCCTCCGCCTACGGCCGTCCGCGCCGCCGGCCAGCGCCCCCGCCCGCGCACTCACCGTCCTCGTCAGCATCAAAGTGCTGGAAGAGCAGGAGGGCCTGGTAGCGCAGGCGGTCCACGGGCTGCGCGCTCCTCAGGACGGAAACCGCATCGGCGGGCTTTGGGGGTGCGGCCGCGGCCAGGGCCGCCGACGGGGCTGCTGCGGGGCCAGGGCTGGCGGCGCTGGGTTCCAAGTGCGCCGCAGGCGCGGCGCCCTCCTTGGGATCCCGCTCGCTGCTGCTGCTGCTATCGCCGCTGCTGCCGACGCTGCTGCTGGGTGCGGCGGGCTCTGCCGGCTGCGCGCGGGGCATCGAGCGAAGCGGCGGCGTGAACGCCGTGCGCTAACTTTGCCCATTGAGGACGGAGGGTGCTTGTCGACCTCATGCCGGCGACTTCAGCTCACCAATCAAGACCTCCTTCCAGACGCACAATTGAACATCTCACCTGGTCCGCTGTGGACCTCGTTCTGCACGCAACCAGATCGGTGCGGTGAAGCAGTCGTCGCACACCGCCATGGTGCAATGTCAATGATCCTTGCTGCCTGTAGCGTGTCGTAGTGCCGCCTCTGCCGGCGTGTGCTGCCGGGCAACGTTGAGTGTGCAGCATATCGGTGCAGTATGCCTTTTGGTGCCTTCAAACAGTAGAGATATGTCAATTGAATACATATGAACTTTGTACGTAATAGTGTGAAGGTTATCTGATTGAGAAGCCTTTGGCAGCCGCTGCAACCCCTGCAACAAATAGCACCGCGCCCGGAGCAGAGCGCCTGCATGGCCCATTGACCCCACAAGTAGTCAATTCAATGGCAGATATCGATCTGGACGCAGCGCTCCGCGTCGCTGTGGATGCGGCGCGCGTCGCCGGCGCGATCATCGCCGACGCGTGGGGCAACGGCGCGAAGGGCGAAGTAACAAAGTCATCCCACGTCGACCTCGTCACAGAGACGGACAAGAAGTGCGAGGATGTCATCCGCACGCGCCTGATGGAGGCGTTCCCGGCGCACAGCTTCATAGGGGAGGAGGAGGCGGCGGAGGCCGGCGGTGCTGTGACGCTCACCGACGAACCCACATGGATGGTGAGCCCTCAACATCCCCCCCCCCCTCCGCCGCCACGCCGCATACCGCCACGCTCACATGCAGCGCTGCGCGCATGCCGCACGAGCGGCATCCCCCAACAACCCGCGGCGTCTGGGAAGCCGAGGCGGGCGCGCGCACGCGGCGGCCGAGCGGAACCAGCAGACGCAATCCTGGCGGCGGAGCGCCCTGAGCTGGCTTTCCCAAGTGCGCCTCTCCGCGCTCATCGCCCCCAGGTGGACCCCCTCGACGGCACCACCAACTTTGTGCACGGCTACCCCTTCAGCTGCGTGTGCGTGGCTCTGGCAGTCAAACAGGAGCCGGTGGTCGGGGTGGTGTATAACCCCATACTGCAGGTGCGGCGAGGGCCGCCAATATGGGAGGCAACAACGCGCCCCTTCCGGCCGCCGCTGCACGGAGCGGGCGGCGGGCAGGACTGGACCTCTGCGCTGCAGCTGACCGGCCGGCTCGGCTTGGGGCCAGCCTGCCTTGGAATCTTGGCCTGCGGCCGGCGACCCTGCTGCCCTGGGGCTTCGGCCCAGGAGCGTTTGCAGAGGATCCACCGGCACTAGAAGATGTATTGAGGAGACTCTGGACCGACTACACAATCGCTTGAAGGAACCCCTCTCTGCCTTTCCTTGGTTCATTAGGAGCTGTTCACGGCCAGGCAAGGCGGCGGCGCGTTCCGCAACGACCGGCCGATACGTGTCAGCGGCACCACGGGTGCGTGCGCTTGCCGGGGCTGCGGCGCCGCGGCCCGCCTGCCTCGCGGGGCGTGCGGCCGGGGTCACGGATGCAAACGTGGGTGCCCGCCTGCGGCGTCGCGGCGGTGTGCCTCAATCTTTCACAGCCCACCCTCACGCTTTCCCAGTCCCTGCGCGCTCCCACAGTCCCTCCTCCCGTGAGCATCACCGTCCCCGCCGCTGACACGCTTCCGTAACCCCTCTTTGCGCCCCTCTCCACACTCCTCCGCCTGCATGCCCCGTCCCCGCAACCAACCCGCAGACCTGCGGCAGGCCCTGGTAGGTACAGAGATCGGCACAACGCGCGACGCGGAGACCGTCGAGGCCATGCTTGACCGGGTCAAACAGCTGACCGCGGCCTCCAGAAGGTGCGGGCGACCCGGCCTAATGGTTTGACTCAGCCCGGCGCGGCCTGGCGTCTGTCTTGGCTCTGTTTAACGCTCGGAGCGGCCGATTAGTTTCAAATTCAGGTGTCAGGACTTTGTGCAGGGCAGGGCCGTCCCAACCACAGCACGCGCCCCGGCACTCAAGGCGGCTTCCTGATCCTTCCGCCGCCGCTGCCTCCCCCCCAAAACGCAGCCTGCGCTGCTGCGGCTCCTGCGCGATGAACATCTGCGGCGTCGCCTGCGGCCGGCTCGACGCGTTTTACGAGGTGGGGGCGCACAGCGAATGCCGATCCATGCACAATCAGCATGCTCTCCGCTTTCCAGAGGGCCGGGGCCGCCTGCTAGGCCTCCTGCACTCCTGCCGCAGCCTGCGTCCTCGCCACCACATAATTATTTGCCACCGGCGACCCCGGCTGCACCCTCAGCGGCCCCTGCGGGCTCGCATAATGCTGCGCCGGCGCCCGGCGCCGCGATGCTGATGCCTGGTGACGTCACCACGCCCCTGCCGCGCGCAGATCGGCTTTGGCGGCTGCTGGGACGTGGCGGCCGGCGCCATCATCCTGAGGGAAGCCGGCGGGCAGCTGCTCGACCCCAGCGGCGGGCCCTGGCACGTTAACAGCCGGCGCGTGCTGGCGGCCAACGCGCACTTGGGGCCCGCGGCGGCCGCGGTGCTCAAGGGATGCAAAGTCAGCAGCAAGGAACCGGCCGCGCCGGGGGAGGCGGACGCCGCCGCCGCGGCTGCCGACTGGAGCGTGTAACTTTGCTGTGGGCGCCATGTTTGGATTCCCGCTGCGCTGGCTCACTTATGAATCAGGCGGCAGCGGTCAGGCGGCAAGCGTTGAGCGCACGAGGCGGGACCGCACCCCTCCATGCCGCCCAGCCAAAAGCCCGCGATCCGAAAAGCGCCCCCGCGCCGCCGCGCCCGGCCCGCGCATCCGCAGGCAGCCTCAGCCTCGCGCCCTGTTACAACGGCCACCGCCCCTACTCCCCGCCGCCCGCGCCGCCGTCGCCGCCCTCCCGCCCGACCTCCGACGCCGCGAGCAGCCTGTCCAGGCTCGGCTTTGACCGCTCCCCTATCAACGCCCTCAGCTCGGCCTCCAGAGCCGCCGCTCTATCGGGGCGCCCCGCGTTGACCGCCGCCCGCACCAAGGTGTACACCGTCGTCCGGTCCGGCCGCAGCCCGGCCGGCGCCATCGCGGCGCACACCGCCTCCAGCCGCGGCAGCGCCGCGCGCGCAGCCTTGTGGCGCCGCTCCGCCCAGACGCGCTCCTGGGCTGCGCGCCGCCGCCCCAGCCTGTCAGCCGTCGCCTCCTCGCCCTCGTCCTCGTCCTCCTCGCCCCCACTCTCATCCTGCTGCCGCGCCGCCTCTGCGCCTTCTCCATCGCCGCCGCCGCCGCCGCCGTCGCCAACGGCCCCCTCCTCTCGCCGCCGCCTCGCCGCGCGCGCGACCCCCCGCGCCGCCCGCCGCTCGTCCTCCCTCTGCGCGGCGCCGGCCCAGTCTGCCATAATTTGGTGCACCCCCTTCTTGCTGAACTCGATGCCGCAGTTTGCGGGGCGGCTCATGGCCGCGACCAGCACGTCGGCCGCGCGGCAGCGGCGCACCATCTGCAAGGGGGGTGACCCGGGGCGGAGCGCAGGGTTAGTGAGCGCGGGCAGCGTCCTGGGTCGCGCGCCAAGAGATTTGCAGTCTCACCCCGTGGGAACATGTATAATGGCAGCGCCTGATGACATTTTGGATGGCAGGGCTGCCTACCCAAACCAGGGACGCTTGCTGTGTTGATAAGGCCTGGAATGCGACACCAGCTGACTGAGGAAAGAGGGGCCCCAGCTGCCCGCGCCGTGGGCGCCTGGACGCCCAGCCCAGCCGGCAGCGCCCCACCAGCCCCCC